TGGTGAAGCCTCTCACCGCCCCTGAGCCTCTGGCCTGTACCCCAGTTCTGTATGCACAAATAAATAAATCTTAAAAAAAAAAAATGTCTGCAAACTTTGCAGTGTGAGGGGAGACTGCATTCTAAAGAGGACGAGTAGTTTTACTGGAAACTCCTATGGGAGTGAGAATTACAGATGTAGTGGAGCTGGGATCCCATCAAAAAGGAGCTAAAGAATGATAATTTTCAGCTGTTTTTTTTCTTTCTTTTTAAAACAGTTTCTACCTGTTTCTTTTTTTTTTTTAATTTGTTTTAGATTTATCTACTTATTCATACTGAGAATAAATACTGAGAGCTGGGATGTAGGCCAGAGGTGGGGTGAGGGTGGAATGAGAGGATTCACCAGAGACAGAATGGGGAGAAAACAAGCAGATCTACAGAAATACACTGCTGAGGGGAGCAGTGGGCAAGACAGGAGAGGTCTGCTGCCTTGTGTGGGTCAGCTGCCTGGCCAGGGGTCAAACTCATGCTGCAGTGGCTGTGGGATAGCTTCATAATGCTGAGACCTAACCCCTTCAATTACCAGGGAGGTCCCTCAGTCTTCATTGTCATTCCATGCTGGGTGTGGTGGTGAAGTCATTTTGGAGTTGTTTGGGTTCAAAGAGTGGGGTCCTTCAGTTCACTCTGGGAAAAGTTTCACCATAGCTCCCCTTTCACAGCACTGGTGAGTTTTCCAAGCAAGGTCCTCCATGATACAGAGATATTAGTTATATCCAAAAGGCAGGTCTACCCAAAAGGGAGAGAAGAATAAAGGTCACTGCAAAGATACAAGTGAGGAGAAAGAACTTCCCCGAAAGGGACAGGTTTGCTAAAAGAGAGACGCGCATGCTCATATGTGGGCAGTTTTGAGCACAGCTACCTTTGCCGAGGGAGGTCAGTGTAGATACTCCCTGGCATGGTTCAGGTCACAGACAGGCAGGAGGCTGCTGCCCTGCAGATGGAGAGAACTGGTCAAAAGAATCACCTGCATAGCCACAGGCGGGAGTGCGGATCCGTGCCAGTGCAGAGACTACACTCATACAGACTTCTCTTCGGGAGGGGCTTATTCCTTTGTGGAGAGGCGGGTTTGCTCTTTATTTTGGATAATTACATAGGATTAGAAAGGGATCAGAGATTCTACAGTGGCCCTCAATTCCCATCTTTAACTCCGTCTGTGTCTCTAAGACACTAACCTGCAAGTCTGACCTTTTGCTTGGGTCTGTGCCTCAGCACCTAAGGATGTTTAGTTCCTATATAGCTGGTGCAATGACTTGTTAATCACTTCTACTCCCACCTCTAGGCATCGTGTGAGCCAGGTTTCTGGTCTTGTAGCACCTCCTTTCCAACTTTTCTATCCTTATCCTTTATCGGTGGGAGGAGGGAGAAGAGGAGGAAAAGGACCTTTGTTGCAATGGCTGGAATATGGTTTTGGTGCTTTGTATGGTACAACTAAAAATGTGAAGACAAAAGGGGAAAAAAATAGAGAAATAAATTTTCTGAGCTTAGTGACTAGCAAAAAACAAAGATGGGGAAGTGTAGTATGGTATTAAGGGGTAACCTATACTGTGTTAGAGCTCAGTTCTAGGGCTTCAAAACTGAGATTAGCCCAGAGAAGTTTGTAGTTATTGTTTTTAAACGAGGGATCAGAGGCAGATAGGACACAATATTCTGCTGAGAGAGACTATATTAAATTTGCCAGAAGTGCAGACTTCTAGCTGTAGGCAATGGCTAGCTCAATATGAGCATTGTGGGACAGGTTAAGGCCATTTGCTACAAAGGCAAGAGAAGGTGTCAGTCTGAGGTCCATGATTCCTGTTAGAGGGATGGAAATTGGAGACTTGTGTTAGTAGCTCTTAGTTGGGTCCTGGCAACTCTCGGACAATCACAAAAGGAGAGTTGAAAATTTCCAGGGTTTTACCAACATGTGTGCTTCGGAAACAGACTACCAGGCAGAGCACATAAGGAGAAAGGTGCTTCCCTCCCAGAGGAATTGGTAGGCAAGTGGGACTCACATAGAAAATTGAAGACCTTTTAATGGGGAGCGCCAAGGAGCCCATCATATTGACAGCTAGGATGTATTTGGTGAACTGAAGACACCATAGCTTCTACCCCCTCCTTTATCCCACAGTGGTCACAGGAATATACAATGTGATGTAAGTTCCTTAAATCACGAAAAGCACAATTCAGCAGTTAATGTGCTTGCCGATGTTGAGGAAAGAACTGTTTGTGCGTGTGTATATGGGTGGACAAAATTAAAAAAAGTGCATTGTGAAATTGTTATTCAATTGCTAAAATCAAAACACCCAAGTACCCATTAGTAAAGGAGAAGTTAAATAAATTATGATATAGTCATGCAATGGAATATAATGCAGCTTTTTTTTTTTTTTAAGATTTATTTATTTGTGCATACAGAACTGGGGTACAAGGCCAGAGGCTCAGGGGCGGTGAGAGGCTTCACCAGAGACAGAGTGGGGAGCAGAACAGGCAGATCGACGAAGTACACTGCTGAGGGGAGCAGCGGGCGGGCAGGAGAGGTCTGCCACGCCATGTGGTCACCTCCGGGGCAGGCGGGAATCGAACTCATGCGGAAGTGGCTTTAGATTCTCAGTGCTGTGCTTTAACCCGCTGCGCCACTAGGGAGGGCCTATAATGCAGCTTTTAACAAGAATGAGGCAGCTCTTTGTATCAGCATTTGGTTAGAACAGAAAAGTCTCTGTATTCTATCACTGATCTAGAATGGGCACATATCCTGCTCAGAGGCAGTAAGGGGGCATGAGAATTTTGCTGAGACTTTTTTCTTCACTGTTCTTAATAAGATGTTGCCTCTGGAGCTGCTGCAGGAAGGTTGGCAGTATGAAAAGGGATCCTGAAGGGAGTATTGATTGGAACTGAAACTTGAGTAAGGAAGTTTCAGTGGAATAGGGGCCAGAAGACAAATTAGAATGGGTCAAGGAGAGGCAAGATTGGGTGGGAGAGGGGAATGATCAAATGAAACATTTTGAGGCATGGCTGTTACAGGAGCAAAGAACTAGGGTAGTGTTTTGAAAAGACTAGGTCAAGAGCCTGCACTTGTTTACCCCCAGCAGGGAGATGCTACACCATGTGATATTTATGGGAGGCCTAAAGAGGGAGACTAGGTGATGCAGGAGAGGGGATAATGGGTGGTGTCACATAGTGTACGTGGAGGGCTGGTGCTGGAGTACATAAGAAAAAGATCATTGTGTTCCAATTTCTCTGTGAAGTTGAGTGGTCATTCCTTCAGAGAGAAGACAATTAGAAGACTGCAAAGGGGGCATGAAATAGCTAAGTGGGAACAAGTGCAGGGCACTCTGCAGATGTGCTGGTCATAGGAGACGGCCTCCCAGGGATGTAGGTTGGCTATGCCAGAGCTTAGCGGAAAGGTGCAGAGGTGTATAAGTTATTTATCTTCAAGATGACATGCCATGGAATGTAAGCAGAAACAGATGTGAGGTTAGGTGACTAAATCATTGGGGGATAATTATTTTCCCCAGTAGTTTCATTTTCCTCTTGTGCAGCTCTTACCTATTTGTCTCAGGTTTGGTATGTTAGAAGCTCCTTGGTTAGAAAGCTGGAGTTGTTTCTAAGATCCATCTTTCTCTAGTTCCATCCTCATCAGCAAGCTGCCTGAGTTAGGGCTTTCTGCCAATATTTTTGTTTTCTTTCTCCTATGAGATCCATCCTTCTGGTCAATGATGGGTTTGCACATTCAATACTGGTAAACATTATACATTTGGTCTGTAGAGAAGGTAATATATTTAGAGCAGTTGGAAACCCTTTTTCTCCAGCTGTTTTGATGGGGGGAACTTACACAAGATCCAAAACTTCAGAGAGAAGACAATTAGAAGACAGCAAAGAATGCAGTTCTATTCCAGGGGACTTCCCTGGTAGGGACTAAAGAACATTGCTTATCAAACCCCATCCTCATGTATATTCAATTACAACAAAATCATTATCTACTCTCCTTTGACATGTAAATGGTTTGTGTCCCCTGTTTTCAGGAGACGGGATAAATTGACTACATTTCAAAGAGCAGTTTAGCAAAATCAGAACTCTTCTTAAACTCAATGATTTTTACTTCTTAGAAAAATACAATGGCATAAAGATATATTTATATATATCTATGCATGTATATAAACACACATCTTCAGTAAGACATTCTGTAACATGTATGTGTATTCCAGGATGTCTTACTGAAGCATTGTTGGCCCATAACCAGGGACATGGCTAATAAACAATGGAATACTGTATGACCTTTAAAAACAATGAATCTATGTGCTGACATTGAAAGTTCAAGATCCTGTTAACTGACAAGGCACAAAATCATGATAGCACTGAAAACTACAGAATGTGTATAAAGAAAAAAACATGAATCATACACAAAAATTTAGACAATGTTATTGGGGAAGTGGAATATAATTTTTATTTTTATGTATTTTTGTTTGAATTCTTTATACTGAATAAGCAGTTTTGCTCGATAATGGAATTAATGAGTATAACTTCTCTGCTAGATACATTCATTACTGATTCACATAATCACTGGGTGGTGGATATTACCTACTCTGCAGGTAAGAAAAGTTAACCTGCCCAAATTTACCCTGTTAGTACAGATTCCTTAAAGAAAAAGTTTGTCTCAGATTCTTCACAATGTATCTTCCTTCCAGGCTAGGTTATCTCTAGCTCTCTGGCAATTTTGGGTATTCCTCCTTCCCACTATGATTTCACTACCCTTTCAAAACTTTAAAAACTTCACTTCCTCTGGGAAGTTACAGCGGCTGATTGCCCCTCACAACTGTTAGACATTTGTATGTATTCTTTGCAGTGCCTGTGTACATCACATTTCTGACACTTTGTTTGGGATCTCCCAGGTTCTTCAGAGCTTGTTTCCAAAACTGATCAAGTGGGTCTCGTAGGACTGAATCCTAGTCTTGCCTTTGCATTTGGTACATCCATATCATCAGTAAACATTCTGAGCAATCAGCCTTTTTCTTATATAGTGATATGTTTTCTCTACTGAATTATGTAAATGTTCTTGTAGCTTCTGAATTAATGGATAATTCCTGTAATGACTTTTCTTGACTTTCTTTTTGATGGAGATTGAGTGCTTATTATTCTCATGCTGTTATTCTTTTATTATGTTTATATATGATAGTGTTTTGCATTCTTTAAATGATACATCATTTAGTACCTATACTTTTTGGTTGTTACACTGGAGCTATACAGACTTATCCCCTTTAGGTGTACATCAGTTACCCTGTAGACAACAAGTACATGTGCCACCATCTGGTAAGCCTGCAATAAATCTACAGGTAGGAACATTTCCATACAGGTAGGAAAATCTAAGAGTCAATTTTAAGTTGAATAAACACTGGAAAGTCTTTTAGAGCTAAAGGAAGCAGGAATTTATGGACAATTTAACATCTGTAAACCCAAAATGGTTTCAAATGCATACTCTTTGAGTATATATTCCCGATTGCTGGGATTCTAGAACCTTAAGGCAAAGATAAAAATATTTCAAAAGTATTTAGATTCTCAGAGAACTGAATCCTTTGCAAATACGTCAAAATCATTTGGATTATTTTTATGCATGGTTTTATTTTCACTTAAAAAATCAGCTGAATAGCAGAACTATGCTAGCTAGCCAAGCAGGCAGTACTAGCTGTGTATTTTTGAGGCCTGAGAAAGGAGCTTGGCTCTAACACACATGCCTCAATCCATGACCCATCTGTATCTTCCTGGATCATCCACATATAAAATACACAAGCTTTTATTTTCACATTCTGAGATCCAAATATGTCTGAGAATTCTAATTGAATTTCTAGAAATAGTTTATTCTGATCCCATTATATGTTCTGTTTACTCACATGAGATCACAATTTCTATTCTTAAAATTCATTTACAAGGTAAGATTATGTGAGAAATAAATAAGTTATATGAAAACTAGGCCAAGATAAAAATTAGCTTAAAATTGTTGAAAAGAACTCTAGTGTTGACCCATGAGACTGTCAGAATCAACAGGGGAACAAAATGGTGAGTTCATGAAAATGCCTCCAAAATAAAAATTGTTACCCTTTATAACATATAAACTATTATTTCTTTCATTAACAGAGTCTGTAACATAAAGGAAAGTCATGCTACTCATATTTGATAAGTGGGCTAAATATGTAAGCATTTCCCCCCTAAATGTTCTAAGGATTATCTCCTAAAAATGTTTAAAGGGTAAGCCAGTTAAGTAATATAGAATGAGAAATGTAATTTATTCAGTGCACATTGAGTTTTTTCAGTTGTCTTCATAATTATGGTTAAAAAAACAACTCTTGCTGGTATGTTTTACTTAAATTGGCTCAAGAAAAAATGTTAAATTTCAAAACCCTAAAATTATTGAAAGCTTAAATTCTTTACATACGTGTATGTGGATATATAGGTGCATGTATACATCTGCTCTTTTATATGAATCACTCAAAATAAATTTAAAGCTGTTCTTTTTAGTATTTAAGTTGCCATTTTAAACATTTAGAAGTTCCATAGGTGGTGGCTTTAATGGAATTTTTCCTAGTGTAAATTTCTTGGACTGAAATTGTTCTAGTTCTTCTGCTGACAGCTGGTCCTTGGGTGTGAATAACACATCATCTGTTGTGGTACTGCCAAATGAGCCAGGCAGGGAGGTGGCCATGCCACTATTTCCGAAGGTGCCACTGGGTGACTTGGAAAAAGCAGAGTGAGAATGTGAGTTTGGACTACCAAATCCAGCCGTAGAACTGCTACTTCCAAAGGCTGGAGCCACTTGGGCTCCAACAGGACTTGATGCCATGGAAGATGGAAATCCCGAAAATCCGCTTGATCCAAAACTTGGAGTTGCAGGGGTTTTAAATGAAAACGAAGCAACAGATGTGGTTTCAGCTTTCCCAAATCCAAAAGTTGGAGTAGAAGTAGTGGCAGCAGAACTGGTAGAAGATGCAGCTCCAAATGCTGGAGTTCTCCCAAACACAGAAGGGCTTCCAGAAGGGGTATTGGCAAACCCAGAGCTTGTTTTAAAACTAAAATTTTGAGCATCATCACTGCTATTATTCACTGCAAAACCTATAAACACCAGAAAAAGAAAAAAAAACCCATTGTAGTTGAAAACACAGTCAAATTACTCTCCGTTTTCTTATTTTTGCCACATGTGGATGTTGAGAAGTTTATTAGGAAGAGGAAGAGTGAAAAAAAAGTTAGAACGAATCCACTAAACCCTCTTCTGCTGTCTGCTATATTGTTCAAATTTCCTTCATGATTTATCTTCACTCAAGAAGGCAGTTTTGAGAAAACACAGAGATTAGGAAGTAGACTTTCACTTTTGGCTCTCACTCCCATTCCCAAGCCCTCAATCGCACCAGATTTTTCACTTGAAGTCAACACTATGCTGTTAATTCAAAGACGGAGTTTTCAAATGTGCTGCTACAATAGCTAGGTATACCTATGAAGCTTCTGAAAAACTAAAAGTCTTTTTAAATAAATGTTCAATCCCATTTCACAAATGCTTTGTGATCCAAATTCTTCAAAGCTTCACTTTACCACCTTCATAAGGTGGTAAAATTTATAAAGGTGATTTAAAATGGCAATTAACATAGTCATTACGGGGAATGGTAATGGAGATTCCCAAAATTTAAAAATAGAAATTCTTTATGATCCAGCTATCTGTCTTTTAAGTATTTATACAAAGAACATGAAAACACTAATTCTAAGAGGTATGAACTCTACGTTCATCAGCAATATAAAAAAAGAGATGAATCCTGACATTTACTATAACATGGATGGACCTAGAGGGTATTAAAGTTAGTGGCATATGCCAGATGGAGAAAGACAAACACCGTAAGATTTCACTGTCATGTGGAAGATAAAGAAACAAAACTAATAAGCAAACAAAATCAAATTCAGATTAAAAAACAAACTAGTGACTCTCAGAAGGTATATGGACAGATGGTACTGACCAAACTATTAAGAGACATGGTGAAGGATTAAAAACTGTATTTCTGGGGCCTCCCTGGTGGTGCAGCAGGTTAAAGCACAGCACTGAGAAGCTAAAGCCACTTCTGCATGAGTTCAATTCCCGCCTGCCCTGGAGGTGACCACATGGCGTGGTAGACCTCTCCTGACCCGCCCGCTGTTCCCCTCAGCAGTGTACTTTGTTGATCTGTCTGTTCTGCTCCCCACTCTGTCTCTGGTGAAGCCTCTCGCCACCCCTGAGCCTCTGGCCTGTACCCCAGTTCTGTATGAACAAATAAATAAATCTTAAAAAAAAACAAAACAAAAAACTGGGCCCTCCCTGGTGGCGCAGCGGGTTGAAGCACTGCACTGAGAAGCTTGAGCCACTTCTGCATGAGTTCAATCCCTGCCTGCCCCAGATGTGACCACATGGTGTGGCAGATCTCCCCTGGCCCGCCTGCTGTTCCCCTCAGCAGTGTACTTTGTCCATCTGCCTGTTCTGCTCCTCACTCTGTCTCTGGTGAATCCTCTCACCCTCCACATCTCTGGCCTGTACCCCAGTTCTGTATGAATAAATAAATAAATAAAAATCTTAAAAAAAAAAACACCTGTATTTCTGGTGGTGAATAAAATGTAGCATATGCTGTTGATTTACAATGCTGTACACATGAAACACATACAATGTAAACCTATATACCTGGTGTTATGTGAATAATAATTTAAAAATGGCACTTAACATGTTTATGACTTTGAAACCTACAAAATCCTACTTTTCCAAGTTAATGAAGTTCTGAATTATTTTATTACTTACCTACTGACCCAAATGTTGCTGTCTGCCTACTGCCAAATCCAAATGAAGGTGCGCCTGGATTTACTCCATTCTTCACATCAGAGAGCTATTAAAAAAGAATGCAAATGATTAAATGCTTGATGAGTAATTCTCAATACCTACTGTATATACCTTCCAGCTAAACTCAATCTGTACAGTACCTATTTGAAAATGTGAAGTTAAGTGATTAAAATGGAAAAAACTTCCAAAGTATAAATATGGCCACAACTCTAATGCTTAAAGTTGATTCACAATTACATTATTAAAAATTTATCACTAAAATCTGTTAAACATATTTCCCTGAAAATACTTTATCCTTTTATTACCTGCTCTAGAAATGCTTTTCATTCCTACTTGCTGAAATCTAAATCTCTTTCCAGAACTTTTCACTTACTTCTTTCCTTTAAGACATCTTAATCAACCCAACCCAGATACAAATTTTCTCATTTGAAAGTACTAAATTTTTTTTTACTGAGGTTTAGTTTACATATAAAACCTACCTGTTATATATATATACACGTGTATATACACACTAAATTCAAATTGCAGTATAACAACTGAAAAGTATGAAAAAGGAGCTTATATATGTCTAGTTATTGGGAAGCATGTATTTATAAAAGTGGAGTGCTGGGACTGTCATTCACTAAATTTAAGTAGATACTACTCTTCTATTCTTTATTAGAAAGTAGAAACAAACTGCCTAGGAAAATGGAAATGTTAAAATTCTGAATGGAAATATCTTATTTTAAAATAAGGTTCTTGAGAATGTTTTATAGGAGTAGACAAGTAGTAACACACAGTGATAATGAGTATGCTATTGTAGGTATCTTTTGAGATAAGTGGTGTATCTCCACTCATCTCGATACATGCTAGGGTATATGTCCTAAAGACAATGCTGTGATAATATATAAGGAACATGTGGTAAGGACCCTACAGTCATGAAAGTATGCAGCAGTCTAAATGTGCATTTATATCATTTTCAAAGCAAATTCTTTTTAAATGTTGATAATAACCTGGAACAGTTGTTATTGTTAAGCTTCAAATCTAGTACTACATCAAAGTAAAAAACCTTACCCTAAAAACTAGTTTAAGTGCATTTCTGACTAAGGACCAGAGAGAAAGCAATTCTAGGCAGGACCTTTACCTCACCTCTAAATGATGATACACTTTTTGAAAAAGAGTGTATCATAATTCTTTACAGAGAATGTTACTTTGATTTCCAAATCCAAAATGAGATTTTCTGTAAAAAATGTAGAAAAGATACATCCCTGCAGTAAACTCTCCAATACTCACCAAAGCTATATTAGCTGATGTATTTAGGCTTTTCAGTTCATTTATCCTTTTCCTCCACTGATCTATTAATTGTTGGATGGAATTTAGCTGATGAGAGAAGAAAAATAATACTGAGTGCTTTACTTAATCTCTCCATAACAACTTCACATCTTTTTTTTGTCAAATCACAAAAAGTTTATAAAACATTTTAATGGTCTATTGTAAAATTTGCATTGACCAGATTTGTGAAAGATATTCCAGCTGTAGCCTCTCCCTGCTCTCCAGCTCCTTGTATCATGTGGTAGAGAACCACAAGTAGCTGGCAGCACAGAATTAGCTGTGTTGGATGGAGGTGAACACGTATACTAGCTGAAAAACAGGATCATGACTGCAGACATAGAAAACACAGAGTTCACATCATTTCCTTTAAGTGTCTAACTTACTCAAGCCCAGTTTTTGAATTTTTTGGTATTTGATATGTGAGATGTTAAACTGTATAACAGACTGTATCTTACTTAATTTTGTTTTCTAGGATTTATCACCTATGAGTTGTTTCATGACTGTCAAATGATAAAAGGTTTAGACTTCAGGGGTTGTTGCTGGATAATTTGTAATTAAAAAATGACATTCTTGGCCCTCCCTGGTGGCGCAGCAGGTTAAAGCACAGCACTAAGAAGCTAAAGGAACTTCCTCATGAGTTCGATTCCCGCTTGCCCTGGAGGTGACCACATGGTGTGGCAGACCTTTCCTGACTCCTCACTGCTCCCCTCAGCAGTGTACTTTATTGATCTGCTTGTTCCACTCCCAATTCTGTCTCTGGTGAAGCCTCTCACCGCCCCTGAGCCTTGGCCTGTACCCCAGTTCTATATGCACAAATAAATCTTTTAAAAAAAAAATGATATTCTTAAGTTACTGCAATAAAAATATATCATCACCATTTCAGATAACCGATCAAAATTTCAAAGAAATTTATAAAAGAAAATAACTTTTTCCTGAAAAAAATTATACACCCTATCCACTTTGCTAAAGCAATTCACAACAAACAGACAACAGCAATTAGTAGCTAATCTGTTATGGAGGTAGATGAATAGGAAACAAACTTACATAACTCTGTAAGTTATTGCTGGTTAAGAAGTTATGGTACTCAAGCCTCAACTCCTCTGGTGAAATGTCTGCAAAACCTGAAGTGAGGAATCAATTGGAATCTTTAAAATAAATACCAATACTTTTGATGATAGTATAGTAAAGATAGAGATAATCATATAGAAAAACTCAAAACCGTCTCTTTATTTAATGCTTAATAAAGTATAAAATGAGAATAAAATATAATTGGCTATTTGATCTTTGCATGGAGATAACTCTAAATATAAATGGAGTAGAAGGAATAAGAAAAGAAAAAGGGTTGACTACATAAACAAATATCTGTCTTAAAAAAATTCTGTAAGTCAAAAACTACAATACACAAAATTGAAATGCAAATGGTAAACTGAAGACACAGTAACTGTCATGTACATGGCAGAAGAGCGAGTGTAAATGTATGGCAAATAAATCAATTAGGCAAAAATAAAGAATAAGCAATTAACAAAATAATTCAAATAGCCAGTAGATAAATGAGTGAAATTTAAAAGTTCTATTTAAAAATCCGACTTAAAATAGTGAAAATGTTTCACTTATCAGACTGACAAAATTAAAAATGGTTGACACACTGTTATTAAGGATGTGGTGAAAAGAACATTTTCTTTAGTTGTCATTAAGGTACTTAAAAGGTACTTTTCTGTGAGGAAAAATGTCAGTAAGCATCAAGTGTCTTAAAAATGTTCACACCTTCTCACCTTAATAAGATTTCTAAGATTTAACCTCAGGAAATATTAAGATGTGTAAACAAAGGGTATTATGTTTAAGGATATTCCAGGTGTTTTAGTATTAAAGTTAAGCTGAAAACAACAAAGAACACACAACTAAATAGCCATGCTGATTTTATATACATAAATAAGACATATGTTTGTGTGTTTATATTTTGATAGAAATATACCAAAATGTTTCTGGGGACCTTAATTTTATTTACATATTTCTGTGTTCTCTGTTTTCTATAGCAATAGCTGTAAATTTAATAATTTGGAAAACTTAAGGAAAAAAAATGACTAGGATATTTTTCTCAGAGAATTACTTGTAATCCAGAATATCAGTAACTCCAAGGTCCCTACCTTAAAGTGAAGAAAACTAACCACTGAAATAACAAGCCTGTGCATATATGGAGATGTGAAGCTATTCTCTCAAAAACAAAGAAAACAATCCAGAATACTGGATTGCCTCTAAGAACAGTCTTCACCAATTTTTAAAAATTGCTTAATCCCAAAACCCTAGAAATCAGCTTGTATTTTTTTCTCTTCCCCTTATGCAATTAATTAGCATCTTGCTATTCCAGCTCCAAAACAGAAACTGAATTTGATCAATTCCATTTCCACCAGTGGTAATTCTAACCCAGTTTTCAGCAGTGGACTCCTAACTTATTTCCCTACTTCTATTTTGTTCCCCCAGCCTAATCCCTTCCCCCAACAGATCATTTTGTTTCACACAACAACTGGAGCAAACTTTTTCAAATCAGATTATATCACTCTCTTACTTAAAGCTCTTGTGGGGGCCCAGTCAAATAGGTCCCACATGATCCGATCCCAGGCTGCCACTCTGGCCTTATATTACTACTTTTGTTTCATTTACTCTCTCTTAGTGATTCAGGTCTTATTAGTCTGCAAATAAGGAAAATTTGTTCGTGTCAAGGTCTTTACTAGCTATTCCCATGGTCAGGAATGCTTCCTACAACTGGTATCTTTTCTACATTCAGGACTCAGCTCCAATGCTGTCTCCTAAATACATGCAACCACTCTGTATAAAAGATCAATGTGTCTTCGTTACTTTCCATCATTCCAGCAGGGCTCAATTGGAATTCCTCATTTGAACCACAGATCTGAGTGACTATTTTCTTAATTTCCTCAAAGGTAGTACAAAAGTAGAATCATTCTAGTTATACAGGAAAAGTTACCTTTCTAATGGATTCCTAGGACAGTGGTTCTTGAACGTTTTGGTCTTAGGCTCTGTTACAATCTTAAAAATCAGTAAGTCCCAAAGAACATTACATGTCAATATTTATTATATTTGAAATGAAAACTGATAAATGTAGAAAAAATTCATTTATAACTAAGAAACCAATTACTTATCAATAAAAATGAAAAACCTTTCTAAAACAAACAAAAAAAATTAATGAGATGAGTGGTATTGTTTTAGTAAATCTTTTTAGTTGGCTGAATAGAAGAATTCTGTTTTCTTACATATGCTTCTGCACTCTTGGTTGGTTCAATATATTGTATGATTGAAGTATATAAAGAAAACCTGTTCTTACAGATACATAACTGAAAAAGGATGACTTTTCCTTTAAGTAAAAACAGCATTAACTTCCTTTTAATTTTGATTAGTGTAGTGTACTAGTAGTTGCCTCTGCCTTGATTCATGCTAAGAAAGAAGCAGTTTTACTAATCAATGCTTTTGCACCAATAGTGTGAATATCAATAAACTGAAAATGCAATTAATATATTATGATAGAAATAACTTTGAACTTGGTCTCAAGATAAAGGTTGTAAGATATAGCAAATAATACAGGATACATCATTAAATTTTTTTAGTATAAGATGTCCAAAAGTATCTCTTTATTAATCTGAAATTTATTTATTTACTTTATTTTTGTATAGCAGAATTGGGGTGTAGGTCAGAGGTGTGTGTTGGTGGGGGGTGGGAGGGTGTGGTGAGAGGATTCACCAGAGACAGTAGTAGAGCAGACAGATATACTGAAAAACACTGCTGAGGGAAGCAGTGGGTGAGATAGGAGAGATCTGTCATGTGGGTTAGCTCCCTGGCCAGGGTTGGAACTCAAGCCATCATGATGATAGCGCTGAGACTTAACCCCTAGGCCACCAGGGAGGCCTATTTATTTATTTTAAATAGTGTGTGTGTGTGTGTGTGTGTGTGTGTGCGTGTGTCTGCAGAAGAAATTGTCATGTAGGCTAAAGGTGCAGAGAATGACAGGAGTCACTGGTGGATTTACTGAAATATAGTGCTAAATGGAGCAGTGGGCAATACAGGAGAGGTCTGCTATACCATATGTGGGTCAGCTTCCTGGCTGGGGATCAAATTCAGTCCATAGCAGTGACTGCGCTGAGACTTAATCCTTAGGACTAAACTGAAATCTATATTTTATTGGGTCCCCCAAATCCCTACTAAGGGATCCTCATTTTAAGAACCAGTGCTTTAGGGCAACTGGCATTAAGTTCAGTTCTGAACTGATTAAAAACAGGTATAGTGCTTCTTTATTTCCTTGACAGAAAATGTCATTTACATTAGTGAATGTGAAATTATTTCACTCAATTAGTTATTGTCTCCCTCTCCTAAGAACCTAAGTTTCATAAGGGAGGAAATCTTATCTATCTTGCTCATCATTATACCCCCTAAAATTTAGAGTAGGACTGGATACAAAGAAGAAATTCAATAAATACTTATTGAATGAATGGATAAACAACTAAGGAGTAGGTGACACAAATGCTCACAAAGTATGAGCAGGTATAAATCTGAGAGTTCTGAGGGACTGCAAATGAGACCCAGGAACATACAGAGTGAGCTTAGAAAAGCGTGGTGGCCTAGGTTTCAGACCAGAAAGAGGTTGGGGAAAGTGGACAAAAGAAAATGGGAAGGAAAGGGGTAGCCTAGCTCTAATGCTTGAATGTTATGCAATATTGAGCTAGTTAAGGTTCCTCACTTTCAAACTACCTCTAGGGTAGGTGTCAACATACCTTGTGAAAAATAACCATTGTTGGCCTCCCAGGTGGCACAGGGGTTAAAGAGACAGTGCTATTAAGTTATTGCCGGCCAGCGCAACATAAGGTTGATCCCCAGCCAGGGAGCTGGCCCACCTGGTACAGCAGACTTCTACCTTGCCCACTCTCCTCCAGCAGTGTATTTCTGCTCCCCACTGTCTCTGGTGAATCCTCTCACCCACAGCACCTCTGGCACCCCAGTTCTTGTATACATAAATTAATTTTCTTCTTCTTCTTTTTAAAAAAAAAAAAAAGGTAAGAAAGGAAAGAAACAGAATAGTCAGGCAGCTAAGGTACTAATGCTAGTGGCAGGTAGTAGGTGATTCCTCTCTTTACTGAAAGCAGTTAAAAGGTTTTGAAGTTGCACATGCAGGGAACCAAGAGAAAAGGTTTCTTCCCAAACTTACAGAATTGGAATGGTGGTGCGTCCTGATTTTATAATTTTCTCAAGAGAACTACATACCTTGAAAGAATGAAATCTTCCAACCTCAATCTCTCAATTATGAAGTGGTGCTAGAGTATTTGGACTTTAAAAAATGTCTAACCTCTAACTAGTTAATTTCTTCATTTGGCATGGTTTTAGTTTTAGAAAAATAACAGTTTTAAAGCCCATTTTAAAAAAACATACAATTCTCAGGTACCTGAAATATTAGGTTTCTTTTCCACTGGACAATAAACTGAAAACATCCACTGTCCTGATGATTCCCAAACTTCCATATCTTTTATAATTCCTTCTCTAGAAGAAAAAACAAAAAGCAAAGGATACTTTTTAAAAATCTGCTACTGAAATTTATTATTTATTTCTCAATCACTGAAATTGTATATCATAGTAAATATATAATTTTAGAATTCTCCCATCATATTTTCTAAAGAATGTTCTTTAAAGCAAAAGCTTAGAAATATGAACTATGAAAAAAAATCATAGGATGTTCATAAATTTGATTTTCAAACATACTGAACCACTAACTAATGCATGTATCTCATACACATATCAGACACACTTTAAAGAACTAAATATAATGAAATACAATATACAATACTAACTTTAATCTTTATCTTTATGTTCATTATCATAAACTTTTTTTTTCATTTCATAAACTTCTTTAAAAAATATATATATTTTGGCCCTCCCTAGTGGCGCAGCGGGTTAAAGCACAGCACTAAGAAGCTAAAGCCACTTCTGCATGAGTTCGATTCCCGCCTGCCCCGGAGGTGACCACATGGCGTGGCAGACCTCTCCTGACCCGCCCGCTGCTCCCCTCAGCAGTGTACTTCGTCGATCTGCCTGCTCTGCTCCCCGCTCTGTCTCTGGTGAATTCTCTCACCCTCCGCATCTCTGGCCTGTAACCCAGTTCTGTACAAATAAATAAATAAATCTTTAAAAAATATATATATATATATATTTTATACATACAAGAACTGGGATGTAGGTCAGAGGTGCAGGGATAAGCGGGGGTGAGAGGATTCACCAGAGACAGAGTAGGGAGAACAGACAAATCTAATGAAATACACAGCTGAGGGAAGTTGTAGGTAAGACAGGAGAGGCCTGCTGCACCAAGTGGGTTATCTCCCTGGCCAAGGATCAAATTCATATTTTTCGTGGCTGGTGACAGCTTCACAGCACTGAGACTTAACAGTGCGCCACCAGGAGGCCCATTATCAGAAACATTTAACTGGTAAAAAAATAGATGTAAATGACATAGAACCACAGAATCTTTTAAATACAGTAATGGTTACAGTATCATTTTATTTAAAAGATTGACTAATTTTTAAATTTTGCAAAAAGGAAAACACTCTTGTTTACACAGCTAGCTTGTTAGCAGAGTAATGGATAGATCTGACTTAAACACTTGCTCCCTATCCAGAATGCTGCAATTAACAAATTGCTACTGTAGCCATACAGTGCTATAAAAGAAGTGGAAAAACATAATTAGCTCTAAGAAAAAGGCACTACACTACTAGGTAAGAGGATGTAAGTAAAACAGTGGCTAATATGATATATGCAAAACAGTAATTATGAGTACTAAGATCATTGTCATTTTTGAAGAAATTTTTGAGTTGTTAATACTGTCTTCTTTTTAAAAGGGAAATATTGTGTTTTTGAAAAAAGCAAATAAGTAGTCATTTTTTTTAAGGCTTTCACTTACAAAAGCTTCTTTTCACCTTTCTGTTCATCAGAGCTAAGAGATGCAAATGGGTTCTGAGATAATCCAAATCCTGAATTTCTGTTAGTTGAAGTTCCAGAATCAAAAGAACTGAAAGATGACTTTTCTTGGTCTCTGCTGCCCCCCCATGGTGAGGATTTGGAGAAACTCGATGGCTGGATGACACTGGAGTATCTCTGGCTAGTGGTATTCCATCCGCGTCTGTTACTACCTAAAATAAAATAAAATACCCCAACAAATTCACTGGCAACTCTTCTTTTAATCTCTAAAAATTTAATTATGTATTGTCTTATTACATGCTGATATTACATAATGACTCAAGTCTGAAAAATGGACAATGTATTAAAGTGCTTGTTGAATATAAAAGATTAGATTCTACTCTCTATCCTTGAATAGATACTTAAATCTATTTGACTCCATCTTTCCTCTGATTAAAATAAGGAAGAAAACTACCTAATTATCTTTAATGGGGAAATTATAGAGATAACCACATGTGAATGAAATGCACTGAACTTGTTATGAGTAGATTTCTAATATTTCATAAATATCAAAATGAACCAACAGTATTCTATCCTCTTTGTCCTTATATTTTACAAAATTTTATCACTTCCTAGTTGGGGACCAAGATAATTAAATTAGGAGATATGCCATTACATATATTAAAAACTAGAGTGATGGGAACTATATTCCTTTGTCAATTTCATTTTCCGACTCTAAAACAACTTAACAAAACCAAAGAAAAATGAGAGCACATTGCTGGAAGAGTACGTGGTAATGTAATTTTATTTTTTCTAAGGTTTCAAATCCTTTGGAGGATGACACAACTAAGGAGATTCAATCTCAATCCACCTTTTGAATGTGTTGCTTTTCACTTATTAATTTCAGAAGCACTCAGTTGTTTTGGGGAGCTAAATACAAACGTTTACTTGACAGATTATTTTTTCATCCATCAGTCTATTCATTAAACCTCTCTCTACTACATTTATAGCAAGTCTCCACAGAAAGTGCAACTTTACTTCCTGCTACAATCACACTTAGAGAGTATTTCACTAGACCAATTATGGGTGATGGAAAAGGGCTGTCTCCAAAAGCAGGAATCACGTATGAAACCAACGTTTAAGGGTAAGATGAATAGTCCTAAGCAGGAGAGAGGGGGTGAGATGTGGGGACCAGCATTTTCTAAGACGTCAGAGACTAAATTCCAATCCTAAGAAAATAAAATCTATTCCTCTGACCTTTAATACCTTTTGTTCCAATGGCTTTCCGACTGATCACTCCTCCCTTTGATGGCAGACCGTGTATATCATCCACAACTGGTCTAATGAGAGATTTCAAAAGACTTAGGCCCTGAGGGGTCAAAGTGGTTCTCTACACCCTTTCCTTTCCCTCTTACTCTAGAGAGTTCATGGCAGGGTGTCCTACCCTCCCCACTTCACGCGCTTGTCTGAGTATGGCTTGTAACTTTTACTGGATTTTCAAAGGAGTTTGTGATTTCCCCAGTTAGGAGGTCTGATGGGCCTCAGTTGCTAGCTTCGCCTTCAGAAAAAAAAGTTTGGTAAATTATATGCAAGGGGTGAAGGGTGAAACAAAAACATAAAGCAAGTACCCAGAAGTGTAGTAAAGTAGGAAGAGTCTGGTCGACATACATCAGTTGCCGAACCACAGTCAGTCACCCAGGGTCATGATAGATGAGACACGTACTGCTGACTTAAATTTGCTCGGTTTAGACCGCAAAGTCAAACCCTGTCCTCTGCTCAACAAACATTGACCTAGCAGGCAGCTAAAACGTCGGCGAGAAAACTGCGTGCCAGCTTCACGGGCGAGACCCGTGAGGGGGTCAACACCGGCACGTCGTGTCCCCTTACCGCTGCGCCGCGGCGCTGGCTGAGCTGCAAGCCCAGGTCCGGAGGCCAATTCCCCGCCCGCCGGACCCCTAGGCCGGGCCTTTCCCGGTGGGGCTAGAAGAGGATGGAGAGTAATCTCACCTGAGGGTTGCTGCTGCCGTCCCCCGCCCGCACCCCTGGAGCCGGGATGTTCGTTCCAGCACCGGTCTCCAAAGCGGCACCGGCCTTGGAGGAAGTACTGACAAATGGTCATCGCGACGGTAACGCGGACGGAAAGGTCTTCATTCGACACCCAAGGCCAACCGATAGCATTTAACTACCAAAGGGATCGGGCCGCTACAGTGACGTCATCGTTTCGCGCCCGGAAAAGGCCATTTCTGTTGTCCCGCCTCCGAGCGCTGAGAGGCGTGGATTTTACCCAGTAGGATTTTAGAAGAACTGACTGCCGGATGGTACCGAGTAGGCTCAGGATGGCGGGTTACTTGAATAGTTTCAGAGAAAGAGACAGATTTGACCGTGGTGTGGGCGTCAGATATCAAAGGCGGCTTACGATCCAAAATGGAGGGAAGTGATCTACTGCCATACCACCCTGAACGCGCCCGATCTCGTCCAAAATGGAGGGAAGCGGATGAAGAAAAACCAGAATTTCAGTTAGACCTTGAGAGGAGGATTAGCTGTGGCTTGATAGCTTGATTGACCAAGTCATACTTTTAGTTTGTAACCGCAGAGAAAGTAAAAGATCTATCTAACCATTCATCAGGATGGATATCAGATAAAAACTCTTTTAAGGTGTTTTTCCCCCCCAGGACAGAACGAAACTGAAACGTATCAGAACAAGTTCCATCTTTAAATGGTTATATATGCTTACAGTGAGAAACTTTTGTTTGAAGTCCACATAAATGTTGCTATTTGAAATTATGTAAGAATCAAACATCTCACTTGTGCCCGGGTCTAAATCACTTGACATCCAGAAACAGTCTTGATGTCTACCCCAGTTTAGTGCTTTAGACCATGGCTTCCTAAAAACGAATTAGCTATTTTTGTAATTTTGTAGTTTTTAAGGAAGCATGACCCTCTCAGTTCAGATTTGATGTTGATGCTTATATATACAGTTAAAGAGTTTGTCAAAACTACTTCTTTTAATTTTTACCTAAGTTCCATCTTCCTCCAAAATCCTACAATAACTACCTTTTTCTTTGTATGAAGCACCTCACAGCTCCACAGGTGTATGGTCTCCTTTGTTGCAAGGAGTCAAAAAATCTGAATTTGTTGAAATACGTCTTTGTGTCTGGTGATTTAGGACGGCTGAGTGTTATTCTTGCTCACATCCTTTGGGCTTGGGCAGAGGAATCTACAGGAGTAGTGGAAATAATTGATGCAAACTAATTAATTTAAAAATCAGTTCAGTTCATTTCCAGGCAAATATATGGAAGTTACAAATATAGTACAAAGAAGTTTTACCCAAACCATCTGCAACTATTGCACACCTGACCTGATGCCCCACCACCCAAATACTTTATTTCCTACATAATCACAATACAATCACCAAAATGAGGATATCTAATGCCATCTAATCCTGAAATTCCATTTATGTTTTTCCAAATGGTCCATTATCCTTTAAAAGAAAATAATCAGTTGCCTTACTCATATTTCTTTTGTCTCCTTTTATATGGGAAATCTGTCTTTCCCTGCTTTCATGACCTTGATACTATTAAATATTATAGGCTAGTTATTTTGTAGCCATCCCTCAATGTTGGTTTAACTGATGTTTTCTTGTGATTAGATTCAGATGCTGCTTCTTTGGCAGTATTATCACAGAAATGTTGTCATGGTTTTTACATGGCATTTATCAAGTTGTACACTATTTCTGTCTCATTACCTATGAAATTGACTTTGATCACTTGATTAAGATGGTCTTTTTGTAATAAGGATTTTGTGGGGATTCACTTTGAAAGTATATAAAATCTCTTTTTTAAATCAATATTTTGATTTAATATTTTTGTTGTTATCATTTTTTATTTTGATGGTATATTATCCCAAATTCAGTCAGTGGGAGCCCTGTAAACATTTTTGTTCTTTTGGCATATTTCTTAATTCTTTGAGCTCTTCCTGGTCCACAAGATGCTCTAGACTCATTTTACACATTTGCTGCTCCTATCCTGGAATAAGCCATTTCCCTTAGTAGTCTTGGGTTTTGTTTGTTTGTTTGTTTTGCTGGTACTTATAAATAAATTGAGATCTGAACACTAAGTTAGCTCATTGTTACTGCTATGTTTTTGCTCCCAAAGCCTTTCAAGGGTCTTGGTAGGGAATACATAGTAAAGACACATAGGCATACTTATACAAATCATTCCTATACTCATTAAAACTTGAGTTCATGCATACTAGTGATTTCCAGTTCCAATCCAAGATCACAGTATTCATTGTATTTTCCTCTAACTCCCTTCTTTGTGAAAAACTTGGTCCCTTTTTTCTCAACATACTTATTTTGAACAATCCCCTTGTACTAGCCAATCTGTCAAAGTCAGATATAATTAGTGAAGATGAGGTCATACTGGATTGGGTTAAATCCAATGACTATTGTCCTTATACGCCATGAGAAGACACAGAGGGGCACATAGGGAAGGCCATGAGACAACAAAGGCAGCGATTGGACTGATGGAATTACAAGTAAGGAATGCCAAGGGTTGCTATAACTACCAGGGGCTAGGAAGCAGGCTGGGCAGTTTCTCCTTCAGAGCCTCCAGAAGGAAGCAACTCTGCCAACTCTGCAGAAAGCAACTCTGCTTTCATTTAGGACTTCTGGTCTCCTGAACTATAAAAAGATAAAGTTTAGGCCACCAAGTTGTGATACCTTGTTACTGGGGCCTTCAGAAAGTAATACAGGGTGAAAATGGGGGAGACTGGGGTTTCTTTTGTGGTGATAAAAATGTGCCCAAATTGTGATAATTGCACAATTCTGAGTATACTAAACACCACTGAATGGTATCTTTCAATGGGTGAATTGTATGGTATGTGAATTATATCTCAGTAATTGTTACATACCTTCTCACATAAATATAAATATACCTATATGCTTTTTGTAAGTGTTTTCATTTAAGCATCTTTAGGGTTTAATATTATATCCCCTATATAAAGACAACAAAAACATTGTTTCACACACAAAAAAATCATTACTAAACACATTTAAAATAATTAATAAAACTTAGTAGTCTACTTTAAGTTAAAAAATATTTAATAATATCAGATATATGACAGCTTTACATACTCATTCCATACATTCCTTACTGTAAAAGGACAAACTATTAGCAGGAAAGAAATGAATATTTGGATTTGTAAAAGATTTATTGACCACATAAAAGCAACAAATACAAGATGGCATATATACACCAAATTATTACATAACTTTTAGTGACAACTGGGTCAAGTATCTCTGATATGTCCTGCTAAGGAAATTATGTACTTTTTTAATTCATAAGAAGTTCAAAGTCAATATTGATATTATATAACTACTAGTGCTCATTACCTAGAAATTTACTATAAATAGTTTAATTTTTTTGATAGTTCATTGTCCTTATTATGATTGGATTTTACTTAATGGTGAGGATTGAAGAGGCATAATTATTTTTTAGTCGTTGGGTAAAACAATAAAATGGGTGCTAAGCTTGACACTTTGTATTAAAAAGATGGAGAATATATTTAGTTGGGTTGACTATATTTCATGAAGAACAGAGAATATTATTAAGTCCCAAAATGTGGTTATGAAGTTTTGTGAGAAAGTGTATATATGCTTTGACTCACTTTGTTTTTTTTGTAAATGGAATATATTTGGTACTGAGTGGAACAAAATTGAAAGAAACAAAATTACGTGAGACTAAAGTTGTTCTTATCAGGACAACTGATAGGAACTGTTTTGACTAATAATTCATACTATTTCTTGGTTCTTGGCTGAGCAGAAACATACAGACCTAACTACATAGCACTTTTATTATGTATGAAAAATAGAATCTAGAGCTAAGATGAGGCTCCTTTGCTGATGAGCCAATCTCCCACTCTTCCATAATCATAGTTAGAAATGTGAAATTCATTCAATAATTTATATTTTCACCAAATGCCTATAAATTTTCAAGTGTACTTGATCCATGTATTTTTGGTTACATGACCAGGTGAAATAAAGTCTTCACATACTTCAAATTAAATAAGGAAATACATATAAAAGAAACATCTATTTCTCATTTTACTTGAAACATCCTTCCAAAAAAAAAAAAACAAAAGACAAATTCTTGGAACAAAGCACTGGTGGCTATATTTTTGAGTCTCTGATGAGTCTTCGAAGTCTACTCACTTTTCATGTTTCAAGGGTTTCTTCATTTGCTCCACAAGTATCAACAACACAAATCAAACAGCTTGTTACTGGAAAAGCTCGGACTTTTGAGTTGGCGATCCATTTGTCTGTTTCAGTATTATATTCAAGGATATGTCCTAATCGACCCACACCTTGAAAACCAGCCAAGACATAAACTATTGAGCCAACTGCTGCACACTTCACTGTTACACCCTTCCATGGCATTGGTGAGACCATCTTCCATTCATTTAATTTAATATCATAATACTCCACATTGTCCAGACCACCTTCAAAAGAATAAGACAACATTATATTAACAAGATCCTCTTGCAGTAATAATTCTCTAGATTTTTCCTAATGTTTGAGAAAATTTTCAAACATTGTTAAAGGTTGCAGAATTTTACAATGAACACTTATCTACCATCTAAATTCTCCTTATTTTAACACAATAAAATTTAATTGTTTTAGAATCATAAAATTTACATTTATTTTACAAAATTAAAAATGCTCTATTTATTCAGGAAAAAGAAAGCAAACCAATGTATTTTCCTCCTAATTAACTTTCATTAGAATTATTCATGTCCTTTCTCTTTCCACCATGTGTCTTTCAGCATTTTAAGGAATGCATCAATGAATAAGAAGAACATGAAAGGAGTGGCAGTTCTTCCTACCCACTTGTGCCTATGCAAGTGTCTTTTACTTTTCTGCCCCTTTTCTAAAAACCTGTTCTTTATATATATATATATATATATATACATATATATATATGTATATACACACACACACATATATATATATACACACACACACACAAATATATAACATGAAAGGGGAAAGGAGCTATTTCATTATTTCATTGTTACTTTGTGGGAAGATTTATTTATTTTATGCATACAAGAACTGGGATACATGCCAGAGGTATGGGGGTGAGAGGATTCACCAGAGACAGAGTAGGGAACAGAACAGGCAGATTGACTAATGTACACTGCTGAGGGGAGCAGTGGGTGGGTCAGGAGAGGTCTGCCATGCCATGTGGTCACCTCTGTGGCTGGGGATTGATCTCATGTTGCAATGGCTATGGATAGTTTCAGAGTACTGTGCTTCAACTTATTGTGCCATCATGAAGAGCTTTCTTTGTTACTTTGAAGTATGCTTAAAGGTACCAACTAGAGTGAAGTTTGAGGACTATATAGATTCAGTTCAGATTCTTCATTACATAAAGCAATTATTATTTTCTTAAAATATTTATTTATTTATGCATACAAGATCTGGGGTAGTGGCCAGAGGTGTAGAGGGCTGAGATGATTCACCAAAGACAGAGTGGGAAGCAGAACAGGTGGACTGATTGAAATAAACTGGTGAGGGGAGCAAGACAGGAGAGTTCTGCAGTGTAATATGGGTTAGCTCCCATACTGGGATTGAACTCAGTGCTGCAGTTGCCAGTAGCTTCATTGTGCTGAGACTTAGCCCCTTGTGCTACCAGGGAGGCCTTACATAAAGCAATTATTTAAGATTCTCTAAACATTATCAAAGAAAATAAAAAGGACAAGTTGCTGATTTATAAAATAGTGATATTATCATGTGATATTTCATTCAAATTCTGAGAAAAAATCCTGAAGCATGTATTTTAAAGGTTTTTATAAAGTTCAAATGTTTCTGTCAACCCCATAGTTTCTAAGCTAGTCTGATACCATTTCCAGGGGGTGTGTGGGATCGATCTGAAATAGTCTCAATGACTTTTAGCCATTTCCCACCTTCAGATGTTAAAAATACAGCCATGTTTGTATAGTTCCTACAAACGATAAAAATTGGTACAATGATGTTTGTAATAAATGCTTGTATTAAGAGTTTAAGAAATGTTTAAATAAGATAAGGAAGTCTAACAAACTCATTGGTAAACTGAACAGTGAATTAACATTACATACCTAAACCATTCTGACCACCCACAGCAAATATCTTGTCTTTTACAAATACCAGTCCATGATTCTTTCTGGCTTCAATCATTGGGCACAGCTCAGTCCACCTGAAAAAATATGTTTTTAGTATACTTGTTTATGGTAAGCTAATGACTGTTCTACTGGTTTATAAGAAAGGTATGTTATCCTATGTAAGTGCTTATTTACTCTTACATATGTCCACACACATACAGTGGCTGGAAGGATAGAAAACAAAAGCTTAACATTAGTTTTGGGTAATTTTATAAGGTAGATAAGCAGAGACTTAACTCCTTTCAACTATGATAGGATATAAGAAATAAAGGCTACCTAGAAACTAGTTAACATATCTTTGGAAGAAACCCATTTCCTGTGTAAACAATAATTTGTAAAATGGAAATAAAAAGGGGAAGGTACTTAAGTCAAGGTAAAACAGTAATGTTGTTACTTGTGGCTTTAATTAATATTTATTCATGAGTAAGTAAAGCACAAAGTTATCATGGGCCTCTAGCAATCATCAAACTAGTAGTATCTGTTACTATTCACATATCTGTCATCAAATCTACACTTTGAAATTTAGACAGCTCTAGTAGCAAAAAGCACTATCATTCTGTCAAGTTCAATAAATTTTTGCATATTGTGTTTACAGTGATCACTAGAAATAGTGAAATTGAACATACAAGTATGAAAGAATCTTCAACTAATTCATATGTAGAAACATCACACACATATATGCAGACTACTGTTTACTTTTTTCTGTAAGATTCAATCCCTTCTTTTGCTTATACTTCCATGTATATGGTGTTACTGGCTGGTGCTCTTAATAATCAATACACACCAAAAGGCCCTAAATAACAATGAAAGTAGAATGTGGTATAAGTGTAATTCTCTTATATGGTTATTTGTGTTTCTTCCTTTAAACAATTTGATATATTTAACTTTTCAAAATGTAATTAGGGCATGATTATAACTGAAATGTTAACATTCTATGCATTGTTTGTTTTAAAAACTGTTTCTCTCTGACACATACAGATATACACAGAGAGAATGTGTAACACTCAGCACAATCATGTTCAGAGATTCTGTAAGGTGAGGTGGGTAACACTACTCCTGTTTTTCAGGATAAACACATGAGATTGGAACAGGTTGGAAGCCAGAGTTAATACTAGACCTCCACTGCCTCTCTGTGCAGTGAGTTTTATAGAGTAAGCTATTCAAGTGCATTAAACATGCACTTGACTTGCAATAATTCAATTTACATATCCCTTCTATCTCCAAATACATCCAGTATATAGAAAATTCATGTTCTTATGTATAGCTAAGCCTCCTAACAGTTTAGCCCTATGAAGTTTCACCAAACACCCATCCTTCCTCTGTAATTCACATACAGAATATGAACATGGTCTGTGTTTTCTCCAACTTGAAATTTAGTATAAAGAGGCTAAAAGTCCTCAATGCTCAATCTGTACACATTATTTTCATAAGTTTAATTTTTTAGCTTCCTCCAGCTAAACACATTCCAAAATGACTTAGGAAAAATTTCAGAACTGGGAAGTAACATTCTCCTAAAAGTAGCTTGAATGGATAAATTATATAGAGAGAAATCACAGAAGTACATCACTTATTTTTCCAGTTGTGAGTTGGATATTTTATTCAAACTAGCTCTTTACTTTCAAATTTAATGCATTAGCTTAATAAAAAACAAGAAATGCTAAGTTGTATGTTTTGAAATACTTCTCCAAATGGAATGTATTTGTCTGGTCTTAAAAAATATTGAGGTTACAGAATTCCTTTATGCTTCTTTGCTATTGTGAACAAGAATATGTTGATTTTTACTACTATCTTTTGAATAAAGATCTCAAAAATTAGAAGCCTGGAGTTTATATAGTTATCGGTTCTACTTTAAAAGATTTTTTTTAGGAATGAAAAAATAATTAGGCAGAAGGGTGAATGGGATTATAGTTTCCAACTAATATTCTGTAAACTTTTTTAGGAGGGTGTCTAGGAGGTAAAGTAGAAAGAGACATAGGAGAGAAGACAGGAGGTTATCATCCCTTCACTCCCTTTGTGTGGTTTGGGAGAAGCTGAGGCAGACAGCGGACAGATAGGGATAGCTATGTATACTGCGCGAAAGTACTAAAGTGTCTAAACTTTAGTGAGTAGTAATTTTGACCCTATCAAAAGATTTCCTAGTCTTAATAATTCAGTAAAAGATTAGTTTCATGGTAAATTGCTGTTATTTCTATTACTAACCAGCTAAGCAAAAACAAATAAACAACAACAACAAAAAAAACAATAGAAATTACAGATTTTGTTTGGGAAAGTTTTTGGTTATGCTTCTTCTACCCTTTACAAATAGGTGGGAAGCTTAAAGGCACAGAACTGATTGTATTTTATAATTAAATTCTCATTTCTTAATTTAAAAAAAGCAGTAACAGGAATAGAAGGTGCCTTTATTTCACAGTCTGGCAATATTTCCTAAATATAGAACACAAACACTCTGGTGCTGCTCTGGACATAACTTTTAAGTTGAACATATTTGCCCAATAATTGTTTTGGTAAAGAAAGAACAATTCTTCTTTCAAGTGAGTGAGTGACTTTTCTTATCAGACATCTGAGTATCTGGGTTTCTGAGAAGCAACAGAAGCTCTGACTAGCATAACATTTGTGTTCATTTCCTCTTTAACGACACTGGACTCGCTACACTTCCTATTGATTAACACATTTCTTTTGATTACACTAGTGGTTCCATTAATTACAATGTCAGAAATACTGACTAAAACATTTATGTAGCATTTTGCCTTTGTAGAAGCAGTCATTTACTTCTCACTTGATTTAAGATTATTGTATAATAAATGTGAATCTAAACATCCTTTCATAAGCACAAAATCAAAAAATACCTTTTACCTAGGGGTATGATTAATTAATGACACAAACCAATGCATATTATATAATTAAAGGCAAATTTACAAGGCTCCACATGGCTCCAGTGGTGGCAAAACTTACCCTGCCCAGCAGAAGCCATGGGATAGAAAAGCCAGTGGTGAATCAGGGCTTCCGTGCTCAGCACGATGCCTTTCGGCCAGCCTCTTGGCTCTGATGGCAGCAGCTCATGCTTCCCTTCCCTGGTAGGCCTGCCCTGGTTCCACAGCAGGGCCCACAGCCCATGTGAGACTACCTGACGTCAGCATAGGTTTGGACAGTCTGGGGGGGTTTGAATACTGTACTGGAATTGTAAACCGACCAACTAGACTTGAAAGGTGGGTACTGTAAACCACCTATGAACCCATAAGTCAAGGTTTAAGAGGATTTGACACAGACTTGTCCAGGCCCTCTCCTGGAAAGACCTGTAAAGATCTCTGTGGATGTCTAGGACTTTTGCATCTGAGATTTCTACTTCCAATTGCAGCCTGACCACTGCTCCTGTCTCTGACATCACCTGCTAACTTGCACCAATGGACTGTGCCGTGTGTCTTTTAAAGGGTTGTACACTGGTGCCTTGTCCTTTGGCACCACCTCTAAAAGAGCTGTCTACTGTTAGCTTATGCCTGGCATCTCTAAAAGCTATATAACACTAGTGCATGGTCCTCTGGCATTGTCACCTGCTGGCCGGCACTGCTGACCTGTGCCTGGCCATCTCTAAGAGCTGTTCACCACCTCTAATCCTCTGGCACCACCTCCTAGTTGCTGTTGCTTCCAGCACTGTCTGGTTGAGTGTCCAGAACTGCCCAGTCCAGCCTCAGGCTAGGTGCTGCTGGCTGTGGCAGTGCCATCTGAGCAGCACAACCTGTGATCATCTCTCTAGCTGCTGCTGTGAGATGGGTCCTGGCCCACTGTTACTGGTGTGCCAGCAGCTCCAGGCTTTTGAAGGGTCAAAAACATTTTGCACAAGTAGCTTTTGATTTGGACTACTGGATACTGTGAACACTATCTGGGTAAGCCAGCTGGCCATATGTGGCCTGAGAAGCTTTTGATTTGGACTACTGGATACTGTGAACACTATCTGGGTAAGCCAGCTGGCCATATGTGGCCTGAGTAGCTTTTGATTTGGACTACTGGATACTGTGAACACTATCTGGGTAAGCCAGCTGGCCATATGTGGCCTGAGAAGCTTTTGATTTGGACTACTGGATACTGTGAACACTATCTGGGTAAGCCAGCTGGCCATATGTGGCCTGAGAAGCTCTTTCCTTTTCTTCAGTTTCCCTTTTGATAATAAATACCATTGTTGTTGCAACCTGAGCCTGAGTCATGCCTTGTTGCAGTTATTAGGGTCTGGGTGATGACCTATGAACAGTGACATGGTTCAATGGAAAGTTTTCCCCTCTTCTACATTTTCTGATCTCTCAAGCAAAAAGAAAAAAGTTTTAAGGGTTTGATGAATTAGTCAAACATCCTATCCAAAGATATTTATTGCAGAAACATGAATAGAAAAGAGAGAGGGCTCATGTAAGGTATAAGGTCAAGCCATTTCATAAGAGGTAGATGGCAGCCTATAAACATGACCATGAACCATACATTTTAAAAAAATTATGTAAATTTGTATAATACAAAACAAATCTGTTGGCTTCCTTCTGCCTTCTGACATAAGCTTTCACTGAGTTTATAGAGTGGAGGAATTGTGAAATGTTTAAATTGATACATACGTTTCTGTGGCAGGATCATAAACTTCACAGGAATTCAGCACTCGTCCAGAAACATTGTTTCCTAAACTTCCACCACAAACATAGATGAGGCCATTGGCTTCTACCATCCCATGGCTACAGCGCTGAGTCAGCATGCTGGGTTTTGTGTGCCAGCTTTCAGTTCTTGTATCATAGCACTCAAATAAATATAGAGCAGAGTTTCCTATAAGAGACAAGGGACCCATTAGGCAAAACTTAGGGTATGCGTGTTTGGAATGAGCAGATGTAGTGTGCATCATTAGGTTTCATAGAGTCATTTCTATGAAACTAATAATATCACATATCAAGAACAGGAAGTTTAAAAAAAGCTAACTTTGTATTTTGTAAAGTATTTAAAAAGGATTTGTTAGAATTATTTACTGGTAATTAAACATCAGAAAAAGAAATTGGTTTGATTTTGAAAAAATAAGTAAGAAATAACATGCATCGCTCAAGTCCAGCTGTGCATGAATAGTATTGTCTATACTTCAAATGTATGCTTATGTAGAGTATGAAAGCTCAGCTATTTATAGATGTTAATCCATACCTTAAAATATGAAAATTACTATTTAATAATATTCTAGGGCTTATTTAACGTTTTTATCTTCACTATAGCACTAATAATATACCATTTCCTGCTCAGTCTCAGTGGTTGTATAGATAAGTTATTAAGTCAGGTTGGTCCATTCTTGAATACCCTCAAGGTATCATTGTATGTGTCTGGTATATTTTTATTACACATTGTGAAAGCAAAAGCTATATATTCATTATGATTTATGACTCCTACTTACCATAGGAGCTTAATAAGAGCTTAGAAATGACTATAAAAAATTAAGTGCTTTTTATTCCTTCCAAGTATAAAGAAAGTAGAGCTTTACCAAACTATTTCTCACTTCCTATTCTTCTGGACTTTGCTTATACCAAATGATTTAAAAACAAGATCACAATAAAACAATTTTATAGTTCTTAAATGCAACCAAGGTTTACAAAATGCAAAGATGGGAGAACAGCAAATGGAAGAAGCGATGGTCATGACTAACAGTAACTTCTTTGACTTTTTAAACATTTCTGATTTGGCATATTCAGTTGTTTGAGACTAAGAATAAATATACAAGATATAGTAGATATATTAAAATGACTATGTGAAAAACTGACTTAGCAGAGAAAATGCTCAAGAAATGAGGTTTATCTATTTTACCATGGAATGATAGTTTTCTATTCCTCTTAGACTTGATTGTATTTGTTTATGATTTATTCTGTCAAGAATGCTTTTGGTCACTTTTAGAAAATTATATTATTTATATTGATTTTATATCTAGTTGGGGGGATGTATAAACATTTAAAACAGATAAATATGCTGACCAAAAGTAAAACATTCTATGGACTAATATAAAAATCATCAAAGAAAATAAAATGACTAGGCTATCATTTAAATTCTGTACATTAGATACACTTGCTTCTCCTAGTTATCTTTATAAGCCTCTTACTTAGCTAAAGAAATTATTTGAAAAGATGAAAGGCTGTAAAAACTATTATGTTTAGTCTGCATAAAGAATATTCATTTAGGAAAGTTATTCACTTAGAAAAGGACCACCACTAAACACTAACAAATTATCCATTAATGAGAAAATTTTTACACCAACACCTTCACTTTGATCTGATTAATAAGCAAATGTATCACTATTAGTCATTAAATTACCAAGATAATAAAGTAAATGAAGATCATTCTTATGCTTTTGTGATACAAAGACAGGTAGGATAATATTGACTTTAATAGCTTGAGTGGAAAAAACTGATCTATAACTAAAATTCACATAGGATCAACAAAGGATTTGTCATGATAAAAAGCAAACAATATAATCTAGGAAGTTAAAACTCCTGTAAATTAATAATTTATAAAGGATTTATAAATTAATGATTTATAAGATAAACCTTTAGGAAAATGGGCTTTAAAATGTAACAGATATGCATTATATTATATCAAAAAACATCTGGACAGGGCCTCCCTGGTGCTGCAATGGGTTAAAGCGCAGCACTGTGAGGCTGTCTGCGGCCACTGCAGCACGAGTTCGATCCTCGACCAAGAAGCTAACCTACATGGAACAGCAGACCTTTCCTGACATGACTGCTGCTCCCCTCGGCAATGTATTTCAGCACATCTGCCTGTTCTGCTCCCCACTCTGTCTCTGGTGAACCCTCTTACCCCTCACCCTTCTGGCCTGTACCCCACATCTTGTATGTATAAATAAAAAAAGTCTTAAAAAAAAAAAGCATCTGGACAAATAACCAATTGTTTATTTGAATAGGAAAGCTAAGATACTTAGATTTAAAGTACCTCCCTCAAAAAGATAGTGAGTAAGTACTTACCAACTTCGGAACCTCCAGAGGTATAAATTTTGCCTTCTGCAGCGCAAGCAGCAAGGCTGTCTCGAGGTGTTGGAGGGCCCAATTTGGAATACCAGCTATCCTTTACAACATTATAGCAGTCCATTCGTTTTATAGGGAAAAGCTGAGAGCCTCCTAAAATGTATACGACATTATCCCAAAACACGCATGCTGCATCTCTTCGTTTTTCGAAGGGGCAGCGGATGTCAGTCCAGCTATAGTCCTGCAACAAGACAAGACAAGAAGCTTTAGTAATGGAAAAATGTAATTGAAATAAAGGAAAAACAGGGGCCCTCCCTGGTGGCACAAGTTAAAGCACAACACTATGAAGCTAGCCACAGTCACTTCTGCACCAGTTCGATCTCTGACCATGGAGGGGACCACATGCTGCAGCAGACCTCTCCTGTCTTGCCCACCTCTCCCCTCAGCAATGTACTTTGTCAAAGCAGTATACTGTTCTGTTCTCCACTCTTTCTATGGTGAATCCTCTCATCACCCCTGCACCTCTGGTCTGTACCCCAGCTCTGTATGCATAAATAAATAAATTAAAAAAAATAGCTAGTGTGCTCCATACCTAGTTGGATTACTGATTAGACTATATTTGAGTAGCTAATGAAGAATGTTATTGAATTCAAGCCTGTAAAGCTCTGAAATATTTAAGAATGTATTAGAAAGCAAATACTTTATGTTAAAGATGCATTTCTTTAATAGTTCCATTCATGTTTTTCCAGAAATTTATGTTAATTTTATATTTGCAAACTTAAAAACCATTTTGCAGGGCTATAGATGTCTCTTGTAATTTATAAAGATTCAGTATTAACTTGACCTTTGAAACCTTGGTATCTTGTAAATCACTAGTCACAATGACAGATATTCTGGGGTACAATGTTGCCTAGAATTTTAAGACTGAAAGCATTACTAAATTTCAAAATTCCAAAAGTTCTGTGATCAGTAATTAACACATCTTCTCCATTACTGTTCTTAAAATGGCCACATATTAACTGCTTGAATCCAAAAGATAAAGCTTCAGTAGCACAGAGGTTGTTGCCCATGGTTTATGAGACAATGTAGTATGAGGTTGAAATACTGTCTACTGAAACAATACTCTTCAAACCAAACCTGTAGTATGTGCTAGTTTCTAATAAACAAAAAAGAATGTGTTAACTTACTAGAGTACATATAAAAATGTTTGGCTCGAGACTATTTAATCTTTTGTGATTTCTCCAGACTGTTGATTAGTTGAGGCAGAGGTAAGAAGGAAGACAGTTATAGCTTTGGGGCTTTTCTGGCTCTAAAATAAATGCTATGACAGTCAAATGTATCATCATCACTCAGTCTTCTATTACTTCTATTCTTGAGGGTAATAATACAAGTATAAAATAGTTTTTTTTTTCCATAAAGCTTCTTGTCTTTTTTTTTTTAAAGATTTATTTATTTATTCATACAGAACTGGGGTACAGGCCAGAGATGCGGAGGGTGAGAGGATTCACCAGAGACAGAGTGGGGAGCAGAACAGGCAGATCAACGAAGTACACTGCTGAGGGGAGCAGCAGGCGGGTCAGGAGAGGTCTGCCATGCCATGTGGTCACCTCCGGGGCAGGCAGGAATCAAGTGAATCAGCTGAAGTGGCTTTAGCTTCTCAGTGCTGTGCTTCAACCCGCTGCGCCACCAGGGAGGGCCAATAGTTTTTTTATTTTAAAAAGATTTATTTTATTTATGCATACAGAACTGGGGTACAGGCCAGAGGTGTACGGGTGCTGAGAGGATTCACCAGAGAAAGAGTGGGGAGCAGAACAGGCAGATCGATGAAGTACACTGTTGAGGGGAACAGCAGGAGGGTTAGGGAGAGGTCTGACGTGCTATATTGATCACCTCTGGGGCGAGGATCAAACTCATGCCAAAGTGGCTTTAGATTCTTTAACCCACTGCGCCACCAGGGAGGGCCGAAATAAAGTTTTTTAAAAAGATCTATTTTTACTTATTTATGCATACAAATACTGGGGTATATGTAGGCCAGAGGTATAGGGTCAAGGATAAGAGGATTCACCAGAGACAGAGGAGGGAGCTGAACAGGAGGGCTGACTGAAACACCCTGCTGAGGGGAGCAGTGGGCAAAACAGGAGAGGTGCCATATAGATTAGTTCTTTGGCTGGGATCAAGGCATGATGGCACTGAGACTTTATCCTGTGAGCTACCAGGGAGGCCTTGTTCATATGTTCTTTTAAATGATCCTTGTAATTTGTCACTCTTCAAATAAGTACTGCCCATGTAGGACCAGGATTAAAAAAGCAAACAACATGCTTTTTATTTTAACCAAATGAAATTAAACATTTAATACTAGGATATGAGGTTCCAAAGAATGAAATGCTTCTAAAGAATTTGGTAAAGGAATAGTTCTAATTTTCTAATACTACTCAGGGGGCTGGGTAGGGAATGAGTGTTCATATGAGTGTACTGTCATGTAGGACCTGGTTATGCTTCAGATTTAAAAATTAAAAAACAAAAAACAAAAAAACTGTTTTCTTGGAGCTATCAATATGAGCCCAAGGATGTGTATAGTGTCTGAATAGCTGTTTCTATATACTTGCAATCTGAGCTCGCATTTTTCTACAAATCAAGTTTTCAGATCTTTGCCAAATCTCCAAATACTGTTAATGTCCATTATACCTATTAGATAAAAAGCGTGATAAACACTAACAATATATAATGTCCTAACTGTTTATCTTCTAGGCAGATAAGTGAAATGACAATTGTAAGAAGTTTTATGAAATGTAAGACTTAGTTTGGCTCAAATTTAATGTTTTACATTTGGGGCTGTTAAATGTACTTGTTAAGTATTAAATATATCTGAGTCTTAACACATCTGGCACTAGTTGTACAAAACTAAGGGGGAGGAAGTTAGGATCCAAGTATGTGTATGGGTAGACCTCTCTGGGAAATCTAATTCCCTAATGTATGTCTCATTCAAAGAGTGCTGAAAAGGTACTTTTATGTTTTCATTTTAACAGCTTACTTTTCTGCTAAGAAAATAATGTGTGTAGTTGAGGAAGCAAGGACAGAAGAGAAAAAAGAAGACAAAAGTCAGGCTTGTCAGTTCAAGGGACAAGAGCACCAGGCCTTACCCTAATGGTGTAAACACTGCCAACCTGGGTGTGAGGTGAAGGGAAGCTACTTAGGGCTCCCTACACTCCTAGACTACAAGGCAAGAGAGAGGAACATACAGCTTTCAGATAGCAGTAAAATGCATGAATAGTTCCAGATGGAGAGATTTATGTCTGTGGGCAGGGAATTGGGGCCCTAAAATACAATTTCATTTAGTTAAGGTTTATTGAATATCTATTCCATGCAGGGTTCAAAACTTAGCTGTTGGGATAAAATAAAGACGAGAAAACTGGAAGCCTAGAAAATACAGTGGTAGAGAATTTAAGTTTTGACATATCAAGCATATATGTATATACACACAGACACACACACAGAAACACCCATACATAAAATCCTGCCATCCTAGATTCTTCCCTTTTTCACCTCTGCTATGGTATGCATTTTAGACTTACTTCACGCTTAAAACTCTTTTTTGTAAGCTTTCCCAATTTTCTTTTTCTGAATCCCCACCACACTGGAGTCTGGACTTGATGGATTAGGTGCTTTGTCACAGATACCTTGTGTGATTTTTCAGCTCAGTGCAATGCCACACAAGGGAAGCATCTCAAAATAATTTTTCTAAATGTCTCAATGTAAAATTATCAGCCTTTGTTTTCTTTGAGTAAGGATTATTTTATATAATGTGTGTTTTGAAAGCACAAAGTTTCTCAAAGAATAGAAACACTTCAGATGCAGATTTAATAATGGAGACAACCAAAATCTAAAATGAGAGGAAGACTTATTTTTAAGACTTGAGAAACTTTATTTGGATTGTTTTGTGAGGAAACCAAGTCAAATTAGGGGCAGCATTAGTGTTCAGAACCTTATTTAAATGTGGTTTGGAGGATGAGAGTTCCATGCATGTACCATACAGACCAACAAATTACAGAACTCAAAGTACTTAGTATTTGGCTATTGCTTCCTTCTTTGGTAAAGCTGTGGGCTTTCAGAGGTTCTACAGATCAGTGGGAATGGAAGGAAAAGAGAATGCATGTGCCTATCACCACGAACTATTCTTTCTTTATCTGTTTCTTCTGTTGTAGAACAGAAGAATAATTCCCATTTGTGGCTTTACTAGCTCATTGCTTTTTTGAGGTCAGCAATCCTATGAGGTAATATCCTCATTTTATAGATAAAAAACCCTAAAAATCATAGAGATGTTAAATGTTGTATCAAAGATCATAGAAAGTAGTGAATTCAAGATTTAAGCCTAAATCTTCCCAATTTTAAAGCTGTGCTCTTAATCCCTATACTTCCCTGCTCATTTAAAAGTCTTACATGAATTGGGGCTCTCCCTGGTGGTGCAACCGGTTAAAGTGCCACATTATGAAGCTCTCTGAAGCCACTACAGCATGAGTTCCATCCCCGGCCAGGGAGCTGGCCCACATGGCATGGCAAACCTCTCCTGAACCACTTGCTGCTATCCTTGGCAGTGTACTTTGTCAATCAGCCTGTTCTGCTCCTCACTCTGTCTCTGGTAAATCTTCTCACCCACCACACCTCTGTACCCCAGTTCTGTAAACATAAATAAATAAATCTTTTTAAAAGAGTCTTATATGACCTAATGGAAAGAATACTACACTAGGAATGGGACAATTTGGGTTCTTCTTTTTCCTGATGTTTTTCTAGTCAAGTGACTAGACACTTGACATTGAAGGACATCAACAGCTTCATCTACAAGATCAGGAGGGTGGCAGGGTGGTCACTGAGGCCCAATCTTACTACTTATAAACACAAAACACAACCACTAAATCACAGCTTCTGTGGTAATAAAGATTTCCCCCAAGTCTTTGCCCCACAGCCTTGAATACTGAAAGGAATATTTTTATTGGGTGATAGGTTAGGCTTATAAAAAAAATGCCTCCAACTGAGGCAACTTCATTTCTGAATTACTGTAGACTTTGCAGTTGGCTCCTAAGTTTGAATAATTCCTCACTGTGGTGTCCTTACATTATCCTGACTTCAGTGTGCATCTTTTCACCATGGCTCCTGATGCTGTGGTGGTTGCACCTCTGAGGAACAGGAAGACCTAAGGCCAACCAACAAACACCTGGATTTGGGGGCCAGGCTTTTCCTTCTTTT